GCTTAATCTTATTGGCAAATATTACAACCTGACCATATATCGGCATTTATTAAAATACTAAATCCAAAGTACAATTTAACTACTAAATTTAAACTCAGTTAACTCATCAATTTCAGGTCATTTGAAATAATACATAACACCTGAAAATTATTCAAAGCAAGTTTATTTTCAATCTCATGTAACGATCATCACTCCGTTTTGAAGCATTTAGAGAAATTAGTCGATTTGTTTGAGTAACCAAATGAAACTGTACATAAACCAGTTTAGCAACAATATCTCAAATGTATTTACCAAAGAAAAGGAACATTTATATATATTTCCTGCTCAGGACTGTTTGCTTTTATATATTATCTCGCTTGTTGGGCGCCTCTAAACGAACAGCATTTTCCAACTTCAAGGAAGTCTGGTATATGATAACCTATCTGTTGCATTCCCCTTAACCAGCGGTATTTCAAGCTTCATCTTTCTACCAAAACCTTTTGATCTCTTTTTTTTCCCCCGCTACTATTTTGAGGATACTAAAGCCTTCGCACTTGGGGCTTGGCCAAAGTCCTCAGTTTACTCACGAAGTTTTAACGGAGCTTTATTTGGAACCAAAGCGTCACACACACTATGACGCTCGGCACATTTCACGAGAATATGGCATTTTGTCTTTCTCCAGATTCTAAAATTTAGGTCAAAGCGACTGGTGATAGCCACTTATTATGAACTTTATATTCATATTAACTTGTACGGTAAGAATTAATTCCAATACGAACAACGACAATGAAAATCAAATTTTCAAAGAGAAAAGCCCAAGGTTTTGCCCTTGAAACAGTATTAATACAATACGTAAAGGCTATTTTAATATTACCGAAAATCCAGTAGCTATGGACATATGGATATGTATGGCTATACAATACTTGATGTACAACTTGTAGCCAACGCCATATTTTGTACGTGTATGTAAGTAAATCTTGACGTGAATGCAAGTTTTGCTTCTTTTGGTAAAAGTATTACGTACTTAATACTTATAAGATCGCTAGAAACAGAATGGTATGTTACGAAAGCCAAGTTAAAACTACACAAGTTTTTATGCTTTCACCCATAAAGAGTAAAGTACGAACGAATGATGAGAGAAAGAAATGGGCCAAGGTTATTGAAATTGCAATTTCAACCTTGGCCATAATCACATCAATAATCAAGCTCAAGTATGCTAACATCCAAGGTCAGACTTTTTTTGTACCTTATGGTGCCTGAACACCGTTGGCGCCTAGATTCAAATTAGAGAAGCGGAGCCATTGATTTTCTATATTTACGTGTATTAAACATTAACGTCCATATTTAACGCTTTTAGCGATATTTTTTTTTCTCCCGTACATTTCAAATACAGCAATATGGTTTTTAGGAAATATGGTATGACCAAGAGCAGATTAAATTGGGGATATTTGGGCTGTAGCCCCAAGAAAGGCCCATTATGGGGTTTTCACCTTAGTTTTTAGTCGCAATCATAATAAGCACGGTCGAGAAAAAAAAAAAAAAAGGTGAGGCTTTTAGCGCGAGTGGTCCTGGGTTCAACTCATGTACGCGGGAAACGCGTGAATTGGAATTACAAGAAAAACTAGAGCCCGACGCCTTGTTTGCAGAGTGAGAATTTGATAGTTTGAGTTGTTTAAATATGACTTTCCAGCAACCACTATATGGTTAATCTTAAACTCTGTTGGTGTAGCACTTGTATAGAATCAGGGAAATGTCGCCGACCCGACGAAATAGTAAGATATATTAACAATCAAACCTTA